AAAAAAATCAGTTGGATTCTTGTATATTAAGGATGATGATACCAAAAAAGATATCAAAATAGCATTACCATTTAGAATAACTATACAAAAGATAAAATATTTAGGAATAAATTATGTCAGAGAAACAAAAGCCTCATACAAAGAAAAGTATAAAACACTTCTTCAAGAAATCAAAAGTAACATACACAAATAGAACAAGTTACCATGTTCCTCGATAGGCAGACTAAATATTGTGAAAATGTCAATGTTACCAAAATTACTTTACAAATTCAATGCAATTCTGATCCAAATCATACCAAATTTTTTTCAAAGAAGTGGAAAAACCATGTATCAACTTTATATGGAAAGGAAAAACGTAGGATAAATAAAATACTATTAAAAAATAAAAACAGCCCTTAAAACCTATTATATAGCCTCGGTAATCAAAACAGTATCTGACAATGTTTTGAAGCTGTGCATAATGTTTTCAGTGGCTCCTTCCCCAGATGTGGGAAGCCAAGTACTTCTTCATTTCCTGTTCTTATTCTGGAAGCTCTGTTGAAAGCTGTTCACTCTGGGTGACTCTGTTGGTCTTTGAAATACCAGTTACATAGCTTCCAGTATCACAGCAACACACAAGCCACCACTGTACAAAAAACTCACAACAAGTGGAGCGGGGGGAGAATCACTAGTGGAGCACATTTGAGATCCTTCTCTGCCTGAATTGGCAGAGGCAGTAGAGACCATGCCACAATGAGACCAGAGGTGGAGGCAAGATGATCATGAGACAGAGAAAAGGATTAGCACCAAAATAATGAAACCGAGGAAGGGCAGTGGGCAAACTTCCCAGACCATGGAGACAGGTCAAGAGACCATGTGCCTGAGAGGTAGAGAACCAGAGAGAGAGAGAACGACCTGGCTGCTGGCTGAGGAGAGATAGATGCTATGTGTTCCAGTGACTGTACCCTTACTGTTTACTATTCCTGACATGGGATAAATTGTAAACTTTTCTAATAAGCTCCTATAATTGTAAATATTTTCTGTGTGTTCTGTGTGGCCATTACAACGGATTACTGAATTCAGCAGAGTGGTTGAATGCTGTGGGAGGAATGATTGGTGTCAAAATAGGGTAAAGAAAGACGGGTAGAGTGGGGAGTAGACCTCTACTTAGAGGCAATTAACCTTCTCTTTTTCCTCTACTGAAGTCAGAAAAGGTCAAACGGAGTCCTATCTATTTTTGCAACATGAAAATATGAGGGTAAGTAAAAAAGCCTTGCTATAAAAGACTAGAATCCTTTGTTAAACAAAAATCTCAAAATGGGAAACCGTTGCTTCTGGAAATACTCTCTATCTAGTTCTATATACTTCTGAAGGTGGGATTATCATCTCTCTAACACTTCCCTGAAAAATTCTGCTCTTTTCAATATACAGCCAATCAAAATGATAGTTTTGGCAACCTTGAGGGATACCGAAGTGTGACGGGGTGGGGGGAGTGTCTTATAAATGGGGGTAAAATTTCTAAATAAAATTCTCATAGGGCAGCCCTAACTACCCTTGGGGAAACAGCTAGTGCATTGCCATAATCCAAAAGAACCAAGCTCAGTGCCATCAAGTCCATGCTGACTCTTAGCAAGCCTACAAGGCAGAGGAGAACTGCCCCTGTGCGGTTCTGAGACTGTGACTGTTTACAGGAGCAGATGATGGATTTAGATGTTGACCAATTTGGAATTCCAGAGCAGGAGTATAGCTGTGTAGTAAAGATGCCTTCTGGTGAATTCGCACGTATCTGCCGAGATCTCAGTCATATTGGAGATGCTGCTGTCATTTCCTGTGCGAAAGATAGAGTGAAATTTTCTGCAAGTGGAGAACCCGGAAATGGAAATATTAAGTTGTCACAAACAAGTAACATTGATAAAGAGGAGGAGGCTGTTACCATAGAGATGAATGAGCCCGTTCAGCTAACTTTTGCACCTAGATACCTGAACCTCTTTACAAAAGCCACTCCACTCTCTTCTACAGTAACACTCAGTATGTCTGCAGATGTAGCCCTAGTTGTAGAATACAAACTTGCTGATATGGGACACTTAAAGTACTATTTGGCTCCCAAGATCGAGGATGAAGAAGGATCTTAGACCCACTTAAAATCCAAAATCCAAGAAAATAAAGTTCTTTGAGAACTGCTTCTGAGATGCCAGCATGTACTGAGGTCTTTGTCACCAAGCCTGTACCACTGAGTGCATATGTAGAGTGCTTTCTGTAAATACTCTAGTTTTTCACCACTCTTCTAAAATTTATTGGAAACTTTCAAAGTCTAGTCTATTAACCTAGAAATACTACTTTCTATCCTACCTAGAAGTACTCTTACACTTTTTTATAACAAAGGGTCTAAGATTTTTTTTCAGTTCAAATAAAGTTATCTGAATTTCAAATATCAAAAAAGAAAGAAAGCCCCACCTTTCTCCTACTGAGTGGCTGGTGGTTTCAAGCCGCTGACGTTTCTGATTGCAGCCCAACAGGTAACCACTGAACTATGCCACCAGGGCATTGTCATGATAGAAAACAACAACATTCCTCGGTGCAGCTTTCCTGTTTGTTTTTCTCACCAACGCAGTTATCAATTTTCTTAAACCTTTGAGGTAGTCTTCTGCCCTTTAAGAAAAATCTATCAAGATTACTACATTGGGATCCAACAACAGCCACAATAACCTTTTGAGGTAACCTCTCTGCCTTGAATTTAACTGGCTCAAGGGATCCCCTTAAAAATCACTTTTCTGGATTGAACTCTTTTTAAAAAGCACTCCAATGATACTAAGACAACTGAGAACTTGTACACAGACAGCCACACTGATCACAAAATAGGTTTAAACAGATTTTATTTGGAATAAACCTGAGCAGGTATGAGCAGGATCCGTAGTAGCAATACTTTGGGACCCACGCTTATATCTATTGGCATGATTATTATTATTATTCCTATATTATTAGTTGCCAATATTATTATTTAGGGTATATAAATAAATGGGGGCAAAAACGCTAGATCATATAGTTGTCCTGAGGAGCCCGAGTGACACAGTGGTTACCCATTGGGCTGGGATCTGCAAGGTAAGCAGTTCGAAACCTTATGAGGTATTCTGCGAGAGAACGACTAAGATTTCTATTCCTGTCAACCGTTACAGTCTCGGAAACGCACAGGGGCAGTTCTAACCTGCCCTCTAGGGTCATGATGAATTAACTTGGACTTAATGGCCGTTGGTTTGAGTTTACAGACACATGGATGGAAGAGTCATATTAAGAATGTTCACTCCACCACAGTTGCACAAAAACTTTTCATGTTACAGCAGTGGCGAGCAGGAGCCGAGTGCTCCGTGTGCACATTTGGAAAGCAGCCCTGCTCCCTCCGGAGACACAAGGCCGCTCTGGACTCCTGTTGCCTCGGTCACCCATTAAAGCTCCGTGCCGCAGGCGAGGAGGCCAGCTGGTAGGATTGAGTGGCCAAGTTCAGAGTGCAGAGAATTCTGGGTGGCAACGGCAGCGGGCAGCGGCACTGATACCGGTGGTAAAGATGGCCTTGGAAGGCAGGGAAGAGGAAAGGTAGCTAGGTGGGGATGGGAGATTGATTCCACCCAATATTAAACAGTTGAAGAGAATAAGCCAGGTCATCTTTCCAGTCAGCTGCAGTGACAATTTCTACAAGCATGTGCTGGAGGTTGGCTTGCTAGCAAAACTTGCATAATTCAATGATATTGCAGTTGGTTCAATATGCTGCAGGGTGGATCATTCACAGAATCAGTAGAGACTTTACATCATGACACTAGGATGTCTGGCACCTTAAACCATGTCTTAAACATCCGTGAAAAAGGTGGCACCTTTGATAACAGCTATCTACATGTCCAGATCAGCAATGAGTCAGCAATCGACTTCTACAGGGAGTTTAGCTTTTAGATTATTGAGACAAAGAAGAATAAGACAAACAAATAAGAGGATAGAGCCCGAAGATGCTCACATGCTGCCAAAAACCCTCCAAGTCCCTCTGGCCAGAATGCAGATGTGCAAAAGTTAGACAACTGAACAGATGACAAATGGACTTCTTGCACTTGCTTGTTGTCAAATAAAAGAAAGGCCCGTTGATTTCCCCCGTCTTTCTTTGGAGGCTTTCCCTCCTCCCTATTCTTGTTCCTCTCTCTCCTTTCCTTTCCTCTGAAATACTTAATACTTTTAAAGACTTCAAATATCATGTTTGCATTGTTTTCATTCTCTTACTTTTGTGAGATAGTTTGACTGAAAGAAGGACACAGTATAGTAGATCTGTTTTGTTTCACAGTTCAGATTATATAGTCCCAACATTTGGGGTGTTAAATAATCTCAGATTTTTTAGCAGATTTTTTTAACGTCCTGCTTTCATAATGAAGGCATCTCTGCAAACATGTGAATGACAAGAAGATTTGGTATAATGCTGTTGCATTTTTTGTAATCCTAAATTCTTACTGGGGAAAATGTGAATGAACAATAGTCCTCACCAGCCTTACTGAGTGCTGAGAATAATAGAGAGGAGGGAGATCATTGATAAGTGAGTATGGAGGACGCTAATCCTAAGATAGTAAAACTGTGGGAAGAGCACACTGGTTGCTTGAGTATTGGTCCTTAAGCAGTCCTAATGTTAGAAGAGATTTAACATAAAGCACCTTTATCATTCATGGGTAAACTTCTGTGGGCTCTTGCCAAGTGAAGAGTGCTTTGAGTTTCAGAACGTATCATTTGTTTGAAGAAAATTTCAGCCTTTTTCTAAACTTCCTAGTATCAAAATAGAGATCTTTGCATGTAAATGAGTTTCTAAGATGACACTGTCTTTATTTCTAAAACCATTTCATTTGGATTATCTAATCGGTCCTGCAGTTATTGAAAGCAGAATAGCTGTCTCATAGCAATTAAGTACATGCTATTTCAAGAGGGGAGGGAAATAACTAAATTTTGACTTGTGGATATAGGATCCCTATCAAAGAATTTCTTTTTCCACTTTAGTCAGTGGCTTAGCCTAAATTGCAAATGTTTGTAGAGAGTGGATTCTCCTCCATCTATCTTGTATTAAATAGTTGCATCCACTTATGGAGGAGGAAGGAGGAGAAGGTAGGAGCTCAGCCCTAGTCCATGTCAGTAAATACTGAAATAATGTTCCATCTTGTTTATTTTGATATATGATAACAATCTTATTTGAAGTAAGACAATTCTATTAATGGTAAACTCACAGACTGCCCATCACAATTTTTAGGACAGAGATTTTACTGTGGGGCAAATAGGTAAAAATCATACTGTATGTTTTTGCATTTAGGTTCTAAGACAATCTTCACAGAAATCTATACAATAAATAATTTGTTCCCATTTGTTTTTTTTAGGGAAAAAAGTTCTGAAATATTCCCTAAACAATTTACTCCTCCATTGAAAGTCCTCTGAAAGACAGAACTATTGGGAAATCATGGTGTGTGCTGGTGGAAAATAAAAGCGCACTCGGACAATGAATGTACAAATGTGCTTTACACAATTGATGTGTGTATGGATTGTGATAAGAGTTGTATGAGCCCCTAATGAAATGATTTTTTAAAAAAAGAAACAATTTGCCATATTGGAGATAGAAAATAATTTGAAATATGTTAGCATAGTCTTTATTTCTTTCAATATGCTTATGTAAAATAGAAGTTCCAAATTATAGTGGATATCTTCATCAAATGTTAATATTAACTGCCCTCATTAGTTAATACATCAATTTCTCATAAAGAGCCAGGTGATGATGAAAATTATATTGGAACTGAAAATTATATTATGTCATCAATACAGATGTAATTATTTCATGTGTTTCACCCATAGCACTGTATCAATAGTAAGTTCTTGAGAAATATTTGCTGAAGAAGTTAATACACCGAAAATTCCTACCTGGATATTTTCCTCCACCAAACCCTTAATATAATAATAATTCTCATTAAAGCACTAAATAAAATAAAATTAAAAAAATAAAATAAAAAAGAAAAGAGCGCTCAGTTTTTTTTTGGAGGGAATAACTTTTAAAATACTTAAATGGCTAAGTTTACTTGATGCAATCAAGAATTAATTAAACTAGGCAATTTTAACATTGCTGTTATATCTGAAATAAACTTAGGTGATGTCCTGGTTAACAGCAACAACAACAAAACTTTTTATTTTAAGTCCATTTGGTCAGTTTTGCTTTTTGCTCTTCATGTGTTTCATGTCATATCTAAGAACCCACTGTCAAAAACTAGGTTCCAAAGCATTACTCTTATTTTTGTTCTAAGAGTTTTATGGTTTTGACTCTTATATTTAAATCATTAATACATTTTGAGCAGATTTTCATATGTGGTATGAGGTCTGGGCCCAACTTCATTATTTTGCGTGTGGATAATTAGTTGTACCAGTACCATTCATTACAGAAAATACAAGGGGGCATCTCCCCCCAAAAAACAGAATTGTGCTGGGCAAAGCAGTAGTACGTATTTTGGTAGTACGTATTTTCCCTGCTAAGCGAGCATCAAGCAACTTGCTCTGAGTTAGTGCACCCAGTGGTGTAACCTCGGAAGATTCTCTCTGGTTACAGTAAATTGTTTTGTAAAAACACTTTCCCTCGAACCTCCTCTTTTGTGATGGCCGATTTAAGAGAACAGCGTACAACTTTGAAATTTTGTTTCCTGCTCAGAAAAAATGCCACAGAAACTGTTGTGATTTTGAACACAGCTTACCAGGACAGCGTTAAAATGTTGACCCATAGTGCAGTTGGAGTTTGTTCCAAAAGGTCAGACTTTCTATTGAGAGGTTTTGAAAAGATTGCTTAACAATGTGGGACCAAAAGAAAGCCTGATTTGTGGCGGTTGGAAGACCAGTTTTGCCACCACGACAATGCACCTGCTCACGCAGCCATCTTAGTGGACCAGTTTTTGGCATGAAGCAGCATGTTGCTTCTGGCAGTTACATAAACTGGTGTCAACTTGTGAAGGGATGGAGTCTTGCCTGTCAATCAGGTTGCAGCTTGAGGACCTCATTTGGAGGTGCCACGGATATAAATACCTCACTGTGGGCCAGATATACAAAGCCTCTCTGCTGGTATTCCTGATGACAAGACACGTGGAGCTAC